CGGGGAAGAGGAACAGCAGAAGCCGGCACTCCAGGGCGCCCGCCCCCCCTCCCCCGCAGGCCTCTCCCTCAGCCCAGGCGCGGGCACGTCCCTGGGAACCACACACTTGGCCCTCCTGAGCAAATTACGCAGCGACCTAAGATCTCCGTAATAAAAAGCAGCTTAAAAAAAAAAAGCTTCAAGATATTTTTCATATCACAGAAGCGAGAGCTCTAGGTCAACTGGTGTCCCGTTGTCGACAGAGCACAGGCAGATCACACGTCAGGGATCACAGGTGGCTTTAGGCAGCGAAGCGAAGACAGCAGCCATCACCGCGGCACCCCCAATCCTCTGGAACTCCTGGGCTGACCAGCCAGCGATGGCTCAGCTTCAACAGTCACTTTGTAAAAGCCTTCGCCGAGTTACCTCAATCAGGCTAGGTCACCAGGCATTTTAAATGTGTCATCTTATAGCCACTCCCATTTCTAAAACTGTAGTAAAAGAATATCCCAGTACCAACAGAAATTGGCACCCACCCACTCCCCCAAACCCTGGGGCTGTTGAAAGAAGGGCTCCTTGGCAGCCTTCGTTTTCGCAGTGGGTGCTCCGGACTTCACCCAGCATCCGTATACAGAGGCACAACATCTGCATTTCCAACTCTCTGCTCTTTTCGCTTCCAATTGAGTACTCCCAACGTCACTCACACCTTTTCCTCCGCCGAGTCCCATCCTGAGGACCACATGTTCTCCAGCCTCACTCCTCTCTTGTCACTGCATTACTCAGATCTCACCCTTCAGATCTGGTCTTTATCACAGGTCACCCCTTTTCATCCAGACCAGTAGGTCACTTAAAAGCATAAATCACCAAGTATGCTACGAACCTTCCTCTTCCTCTTCTTCCTCCTCATCCTCCTCATCTTCATCAGAGCTGAAGGTGCCATCAGGCAAGCTGTAGATCCGGATCACCTGCTTGTTGGGGTCCTTGAGGATGAGGTACTTCCCCTCATCCAGCTTCATGCAGATGTCGATGACGCATCGCAGGATGCCCCAGGCGTTCTCTATGCTCAGGTTAATCTGGCTGGCAAACTCATTTGGCTTGAACTGCTGCGTGCCCAGGATCACGTGGCGGGCAGAGTCCTTCACGTGGTAACGGGATACGTACCTAGGCAGGCAAGAAGAAACCAGAGGGGTATCAGGTGATTAAGCCTAGCCAGCAGAAGAACGACACCAAGAAAAGCAGCGTGATCATCTCAGTTTTATTTTCTGGGCTGAAAAAATCCTAATACTCCAACACTGAAAGCTAAGAGGATCTCCTGGCCACGAGCTGTCAATCAGTAATGTACCTGGAATCCTTCCACCACCCCAAATCAGATGGGGTGGTACAAAAGATACAGCAGAATTAGTCCCACAGATAAAAATTAAGCAATAGCATGATTAGCCGGGAGTCTGGAATTAAACAGATGCAAATGCATCAGTCCCATACCCGAGGACGGAACCTAGGATTGCAGAACCACTAGAACAGAGTTAGCAAATGCCTCTTGTTCATCACCACAGCACAGACTCAACTGATTTTAAGCCAACAGTTTGAAATGGGCTGTGGCGATACCTCCCCTCCACCCAATTTCTCATTAACAGGGCACTGAGGACCTCAATCAAATTCCTGACAGGTAGCACAGCCACTGCATTTATTTCCCTTGTTGGCAATCTCGGGAAAGAGGCTGAGAGCCGTGGAGGCCATCACGTGCGTGAGGTCTCACGAGGTCAGTCGCAGCGGAGGGCACATCAGCCGTATGCTGAGGGGAAGCAGCTTACACCAAGGCTGGTGTGCTCACCACAAGCTTTCCCCCCTGGGCCACTCAAATGTGGGGTGATTTTATGATTACTCATCCTACAAATGGTTCACTTTGACATATAGTGGGTTAAATCGCAGAAAATGCACATGAAAGACGTTTGGTGTGAAACCCGTCTTACCCGAGTTTAAGATATTCTGATCCAGCCAGCAGCGCGCAACATGTCCAGCGGGCCAGTTTGTAGCTGTTGTTTTTCAGCTCTGTGGCAATCACAGCTCCTCTCTGAGAGTCGAGCTTCTGGCGCCAGTCTACTCCATTGCAATACTGAGAGGAGAATCAAAACTAGGGTCAACTTGACAAGCCAGCAGCAGTCACCTCTTCAGCCATCTTGACAACACATAGGGAAGTTTCTTCTGTCTACCCTACGATACCATACAAGGGAACACGAACAGCAACCTACAGGGGAAGCCCTTGCACCGGAGAGGGAGAAAAGCGAACAGCGGGGATTGGCCAACATCTGTGGCGCTGGTTAGGAAGGGAATTTTGTGAGGGAAGCATTCACGAGGGAACAGACTGGCTACTGTGCCGAACACCTGGGGACAAGAGGGTTCAAATCAGCTACCTCGCATCTGGGGGAGAATCCCATCAGCACTGCTCATCCACCAAAGTTACTGGTGGAACGTAACCACCCGGGGGACACCGCCAGATGTTTATCTCATCTTGCCTGCTGTACCTGGCATGTCAGGCAGCAGTGAAGCAGTTAGAGCTAGCTTTGGGATCTTGTTCTTCCTCACCCTGGAATCCCACTCGTTCAGTGTTTTGATGTTGATGAAAGACACTTCTCCATTTGCTCCTGTCATCACGCCATCATGTTCACAGCGGACAATGAGATCTATATCATCTCCCAGCTTCCACCTTCGGTATCTGCCAACAAACAACCCAGCTGGTTATTTCTGACCCTTATTCTCTTCCAGATCCATGCAAGCATTCAACAAAATCCTTTCCTCCTCTATCCATTCACTGTGAGGACGTCCAGGAATCCCTCTCATGGTAAAGCTTCTATTTACTCCTGACTCATTTTGCCTCCGTATCACACTGACAAACTGCCCCCTTGCCAAACCTGGGCATCAGAGAGAGATCAACATACCTGTACGCAACAGAGGCTACTTCGTTTTTATCCATGTCATCCTCCACAAAGGGGTTTGGGTTGGGAAACTTGTATTTCTCCTTTCCCTGCAGAAGAAAACAGAAGGGCATGTTAGGAAAAAAAACCTGAGGGAGCTCTCCCCTGCTGGACAAATATTCTCTTACAGCAACAGTAGCTAATTTCCCTTATATAGAAAAATGCGAAAATATTAAGACAGCTGATGAGAAGCCTCATCTTCGCATTAGTCACTTTGCTGTAAGCAGTACGTCTTCAGCTTCACTAAGCGCACTCAGAAGCCTGCCTGCTTCACCAGTGGGAGTGGGATTTCTTCTTTGTGGGATAAAGGTGAAAATCTTTCTACAACAAAGTCACACTGCTCACCAGAAGTAATCCCACCTCTTTCAAAACTGAACGAACATCAGAGTAACATACCTTTGTCAATTAAAACGCTCTGTGCTGTATTAAAGCAGCCTTAATGAAGTCTCTTCTTGAGACTCTCTGAAACACAGACCCTACTACCCAGCACTGCTCAACCTTACCATCCTCAGACACTGCTGGGAGAAGTTATGGTTGATGTAGGTAGCTTCCATGGCAAGGTTGCGTGGTGAATTAAAGGAGTTGCCCTCTTCCTGTGGTGGTTCATTGGCTGTTTCACTCACTGTCAGGAGGTCTGGAAAGAAAACCAGACACACGCGGTTACACTTGGGGGAGTAATTACGTCAGCTTCAGTGAGTCTCTAGCCCCACACTGCAGCAGAACAGTACTGAAGTTACCCCCACAGCTAGCACAGTAATCAGCTTGTTCCAGGCATCTCAGTCTGGACGCTGAGACATAGAATAAAGTAGGAAAGAAAACTAGACTCTTCAGCTACCGTAACAGCAATTTCTTTCAGGCCTTTTCCTCACCAAAATCAGAATTGTCCCTCTTGTCAAAGAAAAGCTTGGATCCAACTCTCTGGACAATGATGTCCCAGGAATAGACAGAGCGAGTGCAGCTCATCAGTGTGGCCAGGATGGCATCTGTGGCAAATACGTTCCCTTGGGTCTTTGCCAGCTGCGGATATAGGAGGAGCAGAAAACTGTGTTTCAGCAACAAGAACAGACACCCCTTCCCTTCCCCAGCCAAGAGCAGAAGTGTTAGCAAACCAGATCATGAATTTATTCTCCCATGCTGAGGAAGCTAGACTGGTAGGTACGTCACCGCTTGCTAGACAAAGCGTAAGGTACTACCCAGCAATCCAGCCCCACCCTCACCCGAACAAGGAAAAAGTAAGAAACCCACTACAAAATGTGAATTCTGTTGGGAAAAGGCATGGCTCCTTGTGCTGATCGGGTCAGAGAGAGACATCTCTGAACCTTCCTCATCTCCAAAAGTAGAAACCTCAAGAACCAGGTCTCTGACATGGAAGTTTCTTTCCCAACACAGCTCAAGTACCGGTCTGCTTGCCTTTCCAGAATTACAGCTTTTCCTTGGCTAGTATTCCTAGCTTTGCATTAATCTAGCTCTGCCTTGGACCTAAGAAAAATAACGATACCAGCTAATGATTCTTCTCCTTTGCAATCTTAGGGATCTGCAATTTTTCTGCCCTTCTCTTAACTTTGGTCTGACAGTGACAGTTGGTCTCTAACAACAGCACGCACCGAGAAAGACACTAATTGGGTTTTACAAACCAGTAAACATACCTTTCGGATGACCGGGTCGTCAGTAGTAGTGACGGTATGGAAGATGCGCTTAATGCTCCTCAGTAGCTTCTCATTCCTTGTTGTAATGCGGTCGAAGGCTTTGTCGTAGTATTCTAGGGCTCCACAGCACTCTCTGCAGAGATAAGAAGACCATCTTGATACCCCCCCTACAGATAACACCACCCACGAACGACACTGGATTGAGGGACCTGTCGGATGTCCCATTACCTCCCCCTGCTGTGGGTACCTCAGTGAGAACACTGGGACCAGGCCAGGAAACCCTCGCCCTCCTGCTTTCCAAAAATATGGTCCGTTCAGGAAGCAAGCGCACGGCTACTTTAGGAACTCACATGTCCTGTGGCTCCGACACCTCCAGGTAGCGCATCTTCATCAGCCGAGGGAAATCCATCTCTTCTTTCACCTCCCAATCACTGCGAACTTCAACAGAGGAGTCACGAGGCTTCTGCTGTGCGGCCAGAGGCAGGACAGACAGAGAGAGAAACCGAGACGCAGCACATCAGGATTTGTGCACGAGCAGCTGCCCTGCGAGCGCAGCCAGAGAAACCAAACCAACACAGGGCGCAGAAAGCTTGCTAGTTTACCTGTGATTTTTGGTCCCATTTCTGCCTCACTCCAAACTGCTTCTGAAATTTCTTTTGCAGGCGCAAACGATCTCTAAAATGACAAATATGAGAAAAGCCATGAAGAGACGTTCTCGATTCCTATGTGCCACAACCATTCCTACGCTTCCAAATTACCACCAGAGGAGCAATGCTTTTAGGCAGCGAGCCACTGAAACATTTGCTGAGCTGTCTGTTGATCAAGATGCCCTAGGCATTAAAAGCTCTGTTCTTTGCACTGAGCAGCTCTTTAAATATTTTCATCTCCAAAGACTGCAATGCGGTTTTCAGAAAGTGTATGCTCTGCTTTAAATCATCATGCTTACTTTCTAAACTTGATTCAAAAATCCTTCCAAATTCTTCGATAGATGTTTGAAACCCACGCTTATAACTACCAGCGACATCAGCAGAACATCGGACTTAAAATATCCTGATATTCTCCTTTGCTGACTGTTCGCTCTACTGGCTTCTGTTACAGTAGATTAACAAATTTAACAACAGTATGTTCACACACTCCAACCCAAGTACGGTACGCTCGTATCTGCAGCCTCACCTCTCCTTCTGCTTGGCACTCTTTGGCAGCGTCTGCATGCTGAACTGCAGCATGTTCCTACGGTCCTTGTCTCTCCGAAGGTTCCTCTGCAGAAATGAAGGAAAGAAAAAAAAGAACATTTTAGTTGCAAAATAATTCTGTGCTGCTGAAGCTCTCCTTTGAGCCTGTTCCTGAAAACACGTTACCTGTGCAAATCGCATACGATTCCTCTGATAGGCCGTTTTCTGCGTTCGTGCTGTATCCACCAGCTGGAAGCTAGTCTCATCCTCCTCATGGAAATACGCATATTGACTTCCGCCACCAAACTGCGATGAGTACTTGTCTGGAAACAAAACAAAGCATCTTGACACCGAGCTTCTAGGAAAAAAACCCTGACACTTTGCCCCTTTCTCTTCCCAAATTCCCTCCAACTGCCTTAAGTCTGAAGCATAAATTGGGACTCCTGCCTTATGCCAGCGTGTTTCCTCCCCACTCCAAGCCTCCCTGAGAAGCCCCAGTCATGAGGCAGTACAGAAATCAGGAGTAAGCCCTAAGGACAGGGAGAGCCCCACAGAGCTCTCCCAAGGGTGAGACACGCTTCCTAATTTAAGAAGCTTCTCTTGCTGAGGCGTGCAGGTAACCACCAGCATGGGTGTGAGACGTGAAAGCAACTTCGTAAGAAATAAACCGGAGAAGCAGCCACCAGACAACACGTACTTGTGTATCTTTTATCCTGATACGTGGCTCCTGTCCAATCTGCCACCTAAGGACAAAAACAAATAGTCAAAATAAACGACTATTCACCTGACAGTTCCCCCCCACCTCTCACTTCAAGCAGCAAAACCAAATACTGCTGTACACTCCAGAACTAAGCCTTTCAACTCCCACCTCTGCTTGCCAGCCCTGCTAATTGTTCACACCTGTGCTAAGTGTTAGGCTGCACCACAAATGGTGTCAGAAGAGCAGCCACGGTAGTAAGAAGCGAAAGCCAGTGGCAGCGCACAGAGGTGGGATGCCAGGAGGCACACGGGGCTCGTTCAGCGGCAGCCCAACGCGCCGTGGCACGACTGAGGTACCTTTCCCAGGCGGTCTCCTTTACTGAAGGGCTGGTAGGGCATGTCCCTGAACTGCTCGGGCACGGCGCAGGGGCCCCAGCCGGAGGGGTTGTCCTGGATCACGGGTGTTACAAACTTCGCCATTTTTTAAACTTCTAGAGGGGAGAAAAAGAAAAACAAAAACCCCCAGGCCCTCAGCAGCCGCACGGTGAGTCCCGCCGCACGCCCTGACGCCCGCTCCGATGGGGCACCGGGGGCCGCGGCCTTGCGCCCGGCACAGGTCAAGGCGCGGTG